CTGGCTCCATCCCTCCAGGAGAACCCACATCTCCTGCAGGGGCCTCTCCAGGGGGTTTCCCTTTCCCGGTTCCCGCAGCTGGCCCCTCCCTTTGCATGAGTAGCGGAATCAGCTGCTCTCCGTGACCAGCCCTGGATTCCACCCATTGGCCCACAGCTTGCCAACAGTCCTTGTTGCTGGGGTCCCTGCAGACACAGCATCGAGGATAGAGCACCATGTGGTCAGTGCCCTGAGGGAGGCCATGCCAGAAAGCGCAGGGCCTGTTCCAGGCTGGGCCGGCAGGGGGAGAGGACATGCTCCCCAAAGTGGGACTCCAGGAGAGAGTCCGAGCTGACCAGAAAGTCTCTCTTTTGGGAGGGAAGACGGACCAGAGCACAAAAGTGACGGGGACGTGGGAGAGCCCAGGATATTCCAGGAACACCAAATGGTTGGGCATGAGCACCACAGGGTGAACCTAGAAGCAGGAGGGACAAGCAGAGGAGATGTCAGGCCATGCTATTTGAACTTTTATCCTGTGAGCAATGGGGAGCCATTGAAAGATACTCATCGGGCAGTGATTTGAAGAGGAATGCAAGTGGTCCAGAGTCTGTATTAAGCCGAGTCAGAATTATCTGGTTCAAATCACAGCCCTCCCCAAACCTAACTGGAGAGTTACTTACTATTCATGTGCCTCAGTTTACTCTTCAGTAAATTGGACACACTAACAGCACCCACGTCACCGGATTGTGAGGATCATATCAATTAGGACTCTTTCAGCCTCAAATAACAGACAACCCAACTAAAATTGGCTTAAACAATAAGGAGATTTAATGTCATGTAAAAAACCTGGAGGTGGGGAGGCCCTGGAGTTGGGGATTTACAGCTCAAAGGTGTCAGGCTCTAGGTCCGCTTCTCTACAATTCACTTTCCCCTCAAGGTCACAAGATGGCTGCCACAGCTCCAGGCATCACATCCTCACCCAACATTCAAAGGCAGGAAAAGGCAAGTCTCTGCTTTATGTTCCCTTTGGAAAGCAAGGAGGGACTTCCTAGGAGCCCTCTGCCTCCACTCTGACACATGCCCTCTCAGCTCCCATCTTCCAGGACCGGGTCCCGTGCCCAGGCCTAAGTCAATCCTGGGCAAGATCACTAGATGGGCTGAGAGCAATTCCAATCACCCCTGGATCCAAGGCTGGAGCCATCTTTCCTGAGCACCACTGAGTCGGGGGGTGAACCCCCAAACCAACAGGAGACTCTTGAGGTTTGGAAGATGGAACCAACAGTGTTGGCCGTGCGGCTGAAACAGGGTGATCCACACTAAGCCGGTGGCCCAGCGCTGGGGCGTGGTGACACTCGGCGAGGGCGAGCTGTCGCACTTGGACAGGCTTGTGTAATGTAAAAGCAAGAGACAGTGTCACCCAACCTGAGTCCTCGTCAGCTCAGCTCTGGAGCCAGCCCTGCCTCTTCCCAGGGTGTGATTTGGGGGCAAGTTATTCCACGACTTTGTGCCTCAGTTTCCTCATCTGTGAAATGAAAATAACAATTTTCTTCTTCCTTACCCCAAGGCCTTCATGAGGTCGAATGAATTCACGTCCACCAATCCCCTGGAAGAGCACCCGGGGTTCCCGCTCGCCCTTCACCATTGGTCACGCCCGTGCGCTCGGGCAGCAGCCCCACGGGGGGTGGCAGCAGGAAGCGGGCCTGCTCCCTGAGTTTCTTTCTCTCCCTGGTGAAGGGTCCCAGGCTGCAGTTTCTCGCTGAGGAAGGGAGGAGAGGGGAGTCGGGGGGGTGGGGGGTTGGGGAGGGCCCATTCTGCCCTGCCCTCTGCTGGGAGAGAGGCCGCGCATGGGAAGAGCCCGGGCGAGGCTGGTCGCCTCTGCCCCTGTCTGCGAGCACCGAGGGCCAGGAAGGGAGGAAGCAGCAGAGACCCTGGGACAGCCACGGGGAGACTCCGATCTGGGCCCGCAGACACAAGAGGGCAGACGGTGGGGGGAAAGGGCCAGCCCGCCGGACTCAGTGCCCTAGGTCCTATCTCATCACAGTCGGCTGTGTGGCCTCGGCAAAACGTCTCCACCTCTCTGAGCTCCAGCTTCCTGGGTGCCAGAGGAGACTAGTTATATTGAACCGACAGTGGGGGATGGAATATTAAAGCATTAACCACCTCTGGAGAATTATGAGGCTGTGGGACCCATCGCCCCAACCCCTTCTCAAGATGCCTCCCACCGCAGGATCTGCCTATCAGAGTCCAGGGGCCCTTGGGGGTCACTTAGCTCAGGTTTGGTTTTACAGATGAGAAAACGGAGGCCTGGAGAAGATAAACCCCGGTCAGATCCCCACACCAGGCCCCTCCTGGCCAGAGGCTTTCTGCGCCCTCCGTCTGTCTCTCTCTCGCCCCCTCCATCTTGCTCTCTCTCCTCTCACTCTTTCTTTCCCTGGGTCTTTCTCCCCTCTGTTTAAATCCTTGTCTAGTTGTCTTTCTCTGTCCCCTGCGTTTGACAGCACGTCTTTCTCTGTCACTCAGCAGCCACTCTACATTCCTCCCTCTCTCCCCATCTCCAATCCCGTAGCTTCCCTGTCATTTTCGAAACAGCTTAAAAGAAAACTAAAAACTCTGATAAGCCCAGAGCGGGGATGAGGATGGGCTGCAATCATCGGGGTCTTGAGAGTGGAGTCCAGCTCTGCCACAACCTCAGGTTCTACAGAAGGGACAAGACTGGGCCCTGGCGGCCGGGGAGGGAGCCAGCCCAGCGCCAGACACAGGAGGGGTCGGGCGCCTGACCTTGGGCCTCCCTCGCACTTGCCAAGGTTCTGATTCCAGGAGGAGCGGTGTGACCGCCCCCAGTCCTGGCAAAAATAGCGCAGGGAGCCGTGGCCAGCCTCCCGGACGTCTGGCGGCCCAGGTCTCTGGAGAGACAGTCCAGGCCTCCACCAGGCAGAGCAAGAACCTGCCCAAGGTCACGGAGCAGCTGGGCAGCAGAGCCGGAGCCAGACACGGGCCTCTGCCCCCCGACTGGCGCCCTCGCAGCCCACCCAGGGCTAGGCCAGCTCCCAGTTACAGAGAAACCACAGGCCTGCCCTCACCTCTCTGCACCGTAACAGCCCCACTTTTGTGACCGTCTCCCACGTTTCCCTGTGGGCTCCTTACCCAGGGGAGTGGAAGTGGCTCTGCCACACATGCAGTCACCAGGAATCCTAGTAACAACGTCAGCTCACGTTCCTCAGGCCCCTGACAGTGCTGGGCGCTTTCTACGCACTGTCCGCACAGTGACTCATTCTCTCTTCACTCCAGCCCTGGGAGGCAGGCGCTGTTATCATCACACCCCTCTTATCCATGAGGAGACTGAGTCCTAGAGAGGTTAACTGACTTGCCCAAAGTCACAGAGCACTAAGTTTACTGGAGCTGGTCTTCCAATCCAGGCCCTAAATGAATTCGTGGATGAAAAAGGGAATAAAGGTTTGAGACTCGAGCTTACTAAGCAGCTGCTGCTATCATTTGACTGTTGGGCCACTAAGGGTCACAGTGGCCCCCCTCCTGGCCCTGGCAGGCTAGGCCCACAGCTGTCCTCTCAGAATTCCATTTCCTGGGGACCCTGGTGCTGGGAGCCCCACCTCCCAAGCCTGTCCCTTCCAGCGGCTGACCTTGGGCAAGTCCCTTTTCTCCTCTGAGCCTCAGTTTCCCCATCCACCCAAGAGGAAACTTGATCTATGTGTCAGGGGTTCAGTAAATTGAGATTCCCAAGGGGGCTGGTGGGATGGACCAGACTGGGGTCCCAAGCTGAGAGTAGCCTGAAAGAGCAAATTCTAAAATTCGGTTTCCTTTGGTCAAAATATGGAAATGACTTTAAAAGTACAAGAGGACCTGAGGTTCTCATGTTTATCTGAAGGGGGCTCACCAGTAAGGGGTGAGCAGGGCCCCCTGACTCAAAGGGCATGAGTGCCCTGGCCAGAGGCCGGCCCGGAGGACATGCAGGCAGAGCCACCCCGCCCTCGGGTGCTGGCCGCAGCCATCCTGGCACAGCCAGCCTGGGGTTGGTGACAATCACGTCCCGGGAACTTCTGCCAGAGGGGGACAGCTGGGGAGGAGGAGGAGGCAGAGGGACAGCTGGCTCCAGGGCTCAGGCTGAGTCATCCTCCGGGGCCGGGGTCTACACGAGTCAGGGGAGAGGGCTGTTTCCAGAGGGAGAGGAGGCAGCAGCGGGGAAGGCATCCTGGGGCTGTGCCTGGACCGATCAGCAGGAAAGGACAGACAGCCAGGGCCAGACTGCCACCTAGGGGAGGGTAGCCCCCTTCTCCAGTCTGCCGGCCCCCGCCCCCCACCTGCCGGGCCCATTTCTTTTCTTCCCTGTGATCCTGGTACCTGGTGACCAGACCCGGTGCCTCCTCTGGGCCCTCCACACCCTCAAACTCCCCCATGCTCTCAGCCTCCCTCCCACTCCCTGGCCCCCAGGCCCTTGAAGCTGTCAGGCAACTCTGGGCTCCAGGCCACAGAGGGTGGCCTGGGGTCTCTGGAGCCAGAGAGACATAGTCCAAATCCTCCCACCATTTCTGAGCTGGGTGACCTTGGGCAAGTTACTTGACCACTCTGAGCTGCAGTTCCCTTACTGTGAAATGGGGAGAACACCGTCTTACTGCCCAAGGCTTCAAAAGGAGGTATCCCGGGTCTTGCCCTTCCATTATGGAACCCGCCACAATAGGCAAATCTACAGAGACAGGAAGGAGACGCGTGGGGGCCTGGGGCAGGGGAGGGGGAAGGGAGCGACCGCTAAGAGGTGAGGGTTTCTTTCCGGGTGATGAAAATGTGGATACTCTGGGAAGTGACTGAAGCCACTGAGCCGTGCGCTTTAGATGGGTAAGTGTGCAGAACGTGAGTTATAGCCCCAAAGCGCTGGTGATGAAGGAGGTGCCCGTGGGGTGGATGGCACGCGTGGGTGCTCCAGGCTCACAGCACACCCCTGTTGGCTGCTCGCCACCTGCCCCCGTCCTGGGCACGGGCTGCCACGTCTTGGCCGGGGCCCGAGGGGTGGATGCTGAGCTTGAGAGAGGCCCCTGAAGGTCGCTGAGATGACCTTGGAGGGAAAGGAGGTGGTCCATCCTCCACCCTCAGGGGGAGGCCGCCAGAGCCAGGGTGATGGGGGGCAAGACCTGGGACTTAGCAGCCACTGCCAGAGTTTCACCCCCAGCCCCCTTGCTGGCTCTGTGGCCTCAGGCAAATTGCTTAACCTCTCTGGCCGTCGTTTCCTCTTCTGAAGAAATGGAGGTGATGGAATTCTCAGTCCTGACCATAGGAGAAAGGAGGGCATCTGCGCAGCACATCTGGAAAAGGGCTTTGCCCATCCTGAGTGCTTGGAAAAGGGTCTCCAGAGGGAGGGGCTGAGCGAGGTCAGAAGACCCCGAGTCCAGTCTGGCTCCTGCCCACCTAGTGACCCCCACCCTTGCTGGAGCCTCAGGCCCTGCCACGTCCAGGCCTGTGCCTCCCGCTCCTTCTCAGCAGGCCTGTCCCCAGCCTGTCCCCGTGTAACAGACGGACCTGGAGCAAGGAATCGCCTCTCGGGGTCTTCGTCTGTTCACCTGTCGGATGAGGGAGGGAGACCGAAGAAGCCCCAGGGCCCCCTTGCTGCCGGCCTTGCCCGCTCCCTGGCCCAGCACGCCTCTAGGGCTTGCCCTCGGCTTCCCCATGTCCTGTGTCCTCATGTCACCCGCCTGCCTCTCTAGTCGCTCAGAGGCAGGAGCCCACCTTCCTGCTGGGGCTGAATGAGTGAGCATCCACCTTGACTGAGGCCCCAGCCAGCTTCACCTGGGCCTGAGGGAGTGACCTTGGGCAAAACCTGGCTCTGGGCCTCAGTTTCGCCCACTATAAAACAGACCTAATAATCTCTGTGTCTTCTTTGTCTTCCTGGGGAGGACGGTGATGAGCCCTGGCATCCAGGGGCAGGAAGGACCTTAAATGATATTGAGTTCAACCCCAAATCCAATGCTTGAGGACCCCTACCAGGCCCCAGGCTGTGCTTGCATACCTCTGGAGTGACGGGGAGTTCACTTTCTGCCCACCCAATCCATTCTATCCATTTGCTTGACAACAGTGACCGCATCTAACAGGTGCCACACACAGTGGCAGGTTCTGATGGCTCAAAAGTGAATAGGGGCCAGGTGACATAGAGGCAATGACATTGTTCAGGCTTGAACCCTGACTGTTTCTGCCTCTTCTTAGCTCTGTGTGGCCCCTGAGAGTCTTAACCGCATTTCCTCATCTGTAAATGGCAGTCACAGCTCCCCGCCTGTGAGGTCACTGGAAAGACCTCCCCCAGGTGAGCTGGAGACCCTGGGGCACGAGCTCAGTCACTCTTGGGGAGCAGGTGCCATCGTTGTCTCAATTTTTCAAATGAATTTTTCAGAGGCACAGAGATGTTAAGCAACTACCCTGAGGTCACACAGTGAGTGTGACAGGTGGAGCCCAAGCTGGGCCCCGGCTGCCTATGCCCGGGTCCCTTGTACCTCACACCTCTCACAAGGGGCCTGCTCAGCGTAGCCCAGTTCCCTTCACACGATGCAGGGGCATGAGCGCTCCGTGCTCCCCAGAAGCCTCAGACCCATTCAGCCTCCTTTTCTTAGAGGGCAAGTGGGGCCGGTGGTTTTCCACTGTTATTTTTAGCTCTGCCCCCACTGTATTGTTTCGGATCCAGAGAACGGAGCCTCCGAGGTCCTGCGAGTGTCCAGCCAGTGTCCGGGGGGTATAACCTTAGCGGGCTTGCATAGGAGCAGTGATGACAAGGCTACCGGAACCTGAGCTCCCCGACCCCCACCCCACCCCCACGGAGACTCGGATCCACTGCGAGTGACTCAACAGAAGCGGCCCTGCCCCCATCCCGTCCAACTGGCGTCCACAGGTGGGGAGAGAACAGCGCTCCCAGAAGCCGGATGAAAGGAGTCGCTCCGGGTCACGAGCTTGGCATTTCCCAGCTCCGCCTCCGTGTCCACTCACCTCCAAGGTCAGCCTCTGCAGAGCCACACAACCCGCGGGAGGGACCCCTCCAGGCCCCAGGGGGCTGGCAAGGAGGACTGGGATGGGACAGCAGCCACCGTGTGGTACAGAAGTGAATCCTGTGGCCCCCACCTGTCTGGGAGCGAGTCTGGGCTCTGCCGGTGTGATGCTGGGTGAGTTATTCAACCTCGCTGTACCTGGTTCTTCATCCATAAAATGGGCGTGGGGTGATGGCTGGCTCATAGGTTGCTGTGACGATTGACTATGAACCAAGACAGGTGAGCCACTTAATTCAGTGCCCCAGACAGAGGAAGGGCCCCGCGAGTGGGAGGTGGTGTCATCATTTGCCGGCCATCCATACACTTATTTATATGAATACTTACTGCGGGTTGAATTCCTTATCTTTTGCTTCATAACAAAGTACTTCAAAACTTAGTGGCTTAAAATAGTGAAAATTTGTTATCTCACATTGTTTCTGTGGGTCAGGAACTTGGGGGCTGTGTGGTTCCAGCTCAGGTTTCCCGTGAGGCTGTGTCAGGCTGTCGACCGGGCCACAGGCATCCAAAGGCTGGACTCGGGCTGGAGGACCCTCTTCCAAGGTGGCTTCCTCCCCTGGTGGCAGGCTCGCACTGGCTGTTGGCAGAGGCCTCACTTCCTGGCCACATGGGCCTCTCCACAGGGCCGCTTGGATGTCCTCACCACACGGCGGCTGGCTTCCCCAGACTGAGCGACCCGCGAGAACAAGGCGGCAGCTGCGATGTCTCCTATGACCTAAGCTCGGAAGTCACACTCTGTCACCTACGCAGTATCCTGTTGGTGACACAGGTCCGAGCTGCTGGCTGTGGGAGGGGATGACACAAAGGTGTGGACGCCAGGATCTCTGGGGAGCCATCTCGGAGGCTGGCCGCACTGTGCCATGCCTCGGGGACGGACAGGAAGCAAGACCACCGTTGTTGATGTCATGGCTGAGCGTGACTGTGTGTGTAAATGGCAAAAACCAGCATGGCGAACCCAAAGAAACAGCTGGAGACGCATCCTGTGAAGATGAACAGGGTGGCATGTGACAGTGGTCAGAGGGAAGGCCTCTTCAGGAGGGTTGGGGTGGGTTTGAGCCTGAGGGTGGACCCAGCCCGCCATGGAAGGGTGGGGGGAGGCAGTCCCAGGCAGAGGGAACAGCGCCTGTGCACTGTGAGAGGGCCGTTCTGCCTGGCTCTAATGCTCGCTTGTGTGCGTCCCTCTTTGACTCAGTTTCCCCGTCTATAAAAGGGGGATAATAACCGTTCCCACTTCCTATAGGCGTTTCTACAAGGGAAGCCCCTAGCACAGGGCCTGGGGCCGAGTGAGTGCTGGGGACGTGAGCGTCGGGATCCTCACTCGACACTCTGATGTTGACTGGGCTGCCATCCTAAGCATTGCCTGATGACGGTCTCGCTTCCTTTAACGTAATCCTCTAGGAAGGGAGAGGGACCAAGGAGCCAGTGTGGGGGACCCTGTGGCCCGGGGGCGGGAGTAAAGCTGGCGTGGGGGTGCTCTCTCTGAAAATATGGGGGCGTGCGTGGAAGGCTCCCCTCAGGAGAAACACAGGAGTCTAGAAAGGTGAGGCGGGGGACAAAGGCCTGGGACACCCCCCGGGGGGAGCCTGCAGGGTCTCTTAGGGACCGGAGGGCAGCTCGCTGTGGCTTCAGACCACTGAACCTCAGGGTCTCCGTGGACACAGGGAGGATCGAGGGAAATGGCTGGTGCGGAGGGAGGGGCCTTGAACATCACAGTCGGATGGGCTTTCCCGGGGGCGGGATCGACCAGCAGGAGGGAGGCAGGGATGGGTTTGCCGTTCCAGAAGATCCCTCTGGCTGCCAGGAGGAGGCGTGGGCGGTGAGGCAGAGGAAACAGGGAGCAGGCGGGAGAGATGCTGGGGCCTGGCCCAGAGCGGGGGTGTGGGAATGGGGGGGCTGGGAGGGCAGAGGGAGCCAAGGAGGAGAAGCGGCAGGAGGAGAGGGCAGGGCAGCCCTCTTCTCAGGCCCTGGCAGGGCTCCCCTCCTGTCCAGGGATCTGTCCTAACCTGCTTTCCCCGACCTCTGACCTCCCCGACCTAAGATAACACTCAGCAGACGCATGAGGCTGTATGAGGCCTCTTCAGCACTGCTCCACCAGAGCACTCATTACATTGATGGTGGCGACCGTTTATGGAGTACCTGCTATATTCCAGGCACCACACACACACAGACACACACCCCATGACATTTAAACCCCACAAGAACCTAGTAAGGTAGATATTATGGCTCTCATCTTGTAGATGAGGATCTCAAGGATCAGAGAGGTGAAGTAATTTGCCCAAAGTCACACAGCTAGTAAGAGTCAGGATCTCACCAAATCAGCTAATATATGGAACATGCTTACACCAGAGCCTGGCACCAGCAGGCACTCAATAAATGCTGGCACTGTTTTTGTTAGTACCATCAGCTAGGTGTGCCTGGCTACAAGGTCCATAGCCCCGGGGCCTCACTGACTCATCTTGCTCAGTTCTCGAGCTCTGTTATCTATGTGTCTGCTCCATGGGCTGTGGGATCCTGCATAGCAGGAACGGCCGGGTTGCTCTGTGGGTCCCTAGCACCCCGCCTCGGGTGGCTGAGAGTAGGTGCTCAGTGATGCCAGACTGAATAAAGGAGACAGGAAGCTCCTGGAGGGCAAGGACTATGTCCTAAGAATCACGGGATTCCCCCAGCCATGAGTGTCCCTGAGAATCATGGGATTTCCCCAGCCATGGCTGTCCCTGAGAATCATGGGATTTCTCCAGCCACGGCTGTCCCTGAGAATCATGGGATTTCCCCAGCCACGGCTGTCCCTGAGAATCATGGGATTTCCCCAGCCATGGCTGTCCCTGAGAATCATGGGATGTCTCTGTGGGAGGAGCCTCCGTCACCACTTCCACCAGGACAGTCCTTTTCTCCTACCAGCCGCCTCCCCCGTCCTCAGGAATCAGCCCATAGTCAGCTCCCACCAGCCCCACCTTCCTCCTAGCCCTGGCTCTGGGCCCTCCGAGGCCTCACCCGGAGGAGCACATCCATCCTGACGCTCTGGTCTGCCGTGGCCTTCCCACGAACGGGCCTGGAGCCCCTGTCTCTGCCTCGGGCAGGGGCAGGGGGACCGGCCGCCTGGGGTCCCGGCCTGGCCTCTGGCTTTTGGTGGGAGCCTGGGCAGGCCCCTGTCCCCTCCGGGCCTCAGTGTCTGCACCCTCCACTGAGGCACCACGAAGCGTCCCCTTGTTCTGCCGTCCCAGAGGTTGGGCAGGTGCGGGACAAGCCCCACCTCCCTGCCAGTCTCTCCAGGCCGCTGGGTCTGCCCCTGACTGGCTGGTGTGTCGTTCCCCCGTCTGGGCCTCAGTTTCCCCAACAACGAGATGAGCATGGTCATTTTCATCACTTTTACTCAGCCTCGTCGGTTTGCTACAAGGATCCAGCTGGATGGAGGGTGAGGAAGTTCTGTTAATAGCTCTCGGGCGCCTCTGGGTCCTTGAGGCTCAGGGGGAAGCGGCATGTCTCCTTAAGGCCACTAGGTGGTGCCAGCGGGCCACCCATCTCCCTGAAGGCTGTCAAGTTCCACCCTGGGTTACTGCAGGACCACAGCCATGTACCTCCTCCCACTGAGACGGGCCAGCTGGCAGAGGCAGGCTGTGCTGGGGTTAGGGACGGGTTTTAGGGTCAAGCAAACTTGAACTTGAAGTTCTACTCCGGGCCCTGCTCTTGGTGAGTGTCCTGGGTCTCTGCTTGGCAATTAACTCGCCGGGTGTCACTGGGCATGTCACAGGACCTGCGACTTGAGGTTCTTCATCTGGGAAACAGGACAACGTGTCTTTTCTCCTGGGGCATCCTGGAGACCAAGTGACATCGGTCGTGTAAAATATCCATCCCGCCTTCTGGCCCAGAGCGAGCCTCTGTGAGCACGTCTGTCACCAGCCATTACTACTTTACATGTCAGAGTCTCCCCTGGGGAGAACCTCGGGCAGGAAGCCCAGAGAACTGGATCTGAATTTGGCAAGTCCCTTCTCATCTCTGGTTCTCTGTTGGCCCCAACGGACATTGAGAGACTGGGAGCGTCGTGGAGAAATAAGGGCTTGGGAATCCGACAGACTTGGTGTGAATGCGGCCCACCTCTCCTCTTCCCAGCTGTGCGCCCTTGGGCCTCCCTGGTAATGTTTGTGATGGTTTGTTCTAAGTCTGTCTTCTGGGTTCTAAGTTCCAGGAAGGCCTGGATCTTATGTATTTAGCTTACCTACTAAATTCATTCCTCAGTTTAGGGTCGGGCACAAAGTCAGTCCTCAATAAACAAGAGCCATTGTGATTATTACTGTGTGATTACTATATACATTCACTCAACAACAGTAGCAGGCCCTGTGGTCAGAGCTTCCCCTGCATTATTGCTGATAATCCTGTCATTATCTCTATTTTACAGGTGAGAAAACAGGCCCAGAGAAGGTGGGTCCTTGCCCAGGCTCACACAGCTACGGAGCAGTAGAAGCTGGCATTTGAAACTGAGCCCCAAGACAGATTCGTGTTGGCAGATGTATAAACTGAATACTGACCCTCCAGAGAGATCCACGCCCTAATCCCGGGAACCCCTGTGAATGTCACCTCCCGATGGCAAAGGGATTCTGCAGATGGGAAGAAGTGAAGGATCTTGAGATGGGAACATTATCCCCGATTATCCAGGTGGGCCTAATGTCATTGCAAGGATCCTTCTCAGAGGGAGGTGGGAGCGTCAGAGTGGGAAGAAGAGAATGGACAGCAGAGGGAGGAAAGGCCACGTGATGTGGGAATGAAGGCAGCACCCATTCTAGAAAAGCCAGGAAGGGAATTTCCCCTAGAACCCCCAGAAGGAAGAGCCCGGCTGACACCTTTCACCCAGTGACACAGACCTCGGACTTCGGACTCCAGAACTGTAAGGTAATAAAAGCGTGTTGTTTTAAGCTATGAGGCTCTGGGCCATTTTTTACAGCAGCCACAGGAAACTAAGAAACAGGCAAATGAGATAATGTCTGAAAAGCCCCTGGCATACAGTTGGAGCTCACTAAATGCTCTTTCCTCTTCCAGCTATAAGTCCCGGGATCTTCCAGCTCAACCAGCCCATTTTACTGACGACGTGGAGCCTGAGGCCACAGTTAGGGGTCAACTTGCCCCGTCCCGCCGAGATGAGTGGCGGGAGGGCGCTGTCTCCTGGCACATCCTGGGGGTCCTTGCTCTGCTCTTCTGGACTCCAGCCCTGGGCAGCCTGGGCGAAATCATCTAGTCCAAACCCATTTTCCGAGTGAGGAAACTGAGGCCTGGAGTTGTCCGAGAGTTGGACTCGAGTCCCTAAGTGACAGGGGATGTGCAGGCCCTGAATCCCCAGGGAGTCCTCTCGGCAAGGCCCTCCCCTCCCCCTCTGGAGCGCCGCTCCTCCCCGTGTATCCCCAGCAGACAGGGGCCAGCGGGGTCTGGGAAAACCACATCAGGAGCGGCCCAGCTGTGGTGCAGGAATTCGAGAGCAGCTCCTTAGTGGCCTTCAGCCTGGGAAAGCTCTGAGGCCTTCCTGTCCCCGCCCGCCTTGCCGCTTAGGGCCAGCCCTGTCCCCAAGGCTGTGAGAAGTCGCCTGGAGGCAGTGTCCAGTGGGGTGGAGGAAAGAGCGGCCTAGAATGGAGGGACTTGATCCCCGATCCTAAGCCAGTTAGTGGCATTATCCTGGATTATCCTAAACCGAGCTCAGGGCCCTGGGCTTGTCTAGGGGAGCATAGGTCTCCCTGCCCCCGGCATGTGGGGGTTCCAGTGGTGCCCTAACACCCAGCGACACAGGCACAGTTCTTACATAAAGCATTCACACCCACTGGCACCCTCAGACCTCACAACAACCCTGTAACGGCGAGGCTGCTGCTGTCCCATTTTACAGATGGAGAAACTGAGGCTCGGAGAGAGAAAGGGACTCTCCCCAAGTCAAGGTCCTGTGGTGGCAGCACTGGGACTCTGCTAACTCCGTGAGTTCTCGCGATGACCCTGGACTCGTCTCTGGCAATTCGGTCCCAGTCTTGCTGTGGGGCCTTGAGTAATCTCCCTCTCTGAGCCTCGACTCTCCTCTGTGAACTAGGACATAATAATAGTATCCACCTCATTGGGGCGCCTGCGGAATCACCGAGTGCGTGAGCCCCGCGCCTGGCACGCGGTGAGCGCTCCATCTTCGCTGAGCCTCATCACCATCACACTAGCCGATTGGATAACCGCAAATACTACTGCGCGGGGCCAGGAGCCCAGCACAACACGCCCTGCCCCCGGGGCTGGGGGAAGACGCCAATAAACACACAGGTCCTGCGGGAGGTGAAGGAACGACCACGAGAGCAAGGAGGGGGCTGCCTGGCGTGTTCAAGCAACACTGAAGAGGCCAGTGTGGTCCTAGGGGGTTAGAGACGCGGCAGTGGCAGGAGGAGAAACCAGAGAGGTGGGGGGTGGGGCAGAGCCACCGACCACGGTGGCCTTTGGGCGGACATCAGCTTTCCTTGAGCCAAGTGGGGAGCCATCGCAAGGTGTCCTCATTGTCCACTAAACGCTCAAAGCCTGAAATGGGCCCTTAGACCCTGGGTCACTGTCTGAGGAGTGGAATGGCCACCCGCTAGCTAACCACCCTCCTGCGCCCAGGACCCGCCCACGGCCCCGCCCCCTCCCTGCGATGCTCCAGAACCCTGAGAATCAGGTGGTCCTAAAGTGTCAGCGCTCAGAGGGACCTTGGAGGCCATTTGGCTCCAATTACAGATGAAGAAAGGAGGCTGGGGCGCGGAGGGGAAGGGGCTTGTCCGGGGCCTCTCAGCGCATCCGCGGCTGTGCCAGCTGTGACGCCCAAGGCTCCTGCCTCCTGGAGCAGGGCCCCTCCCGCTGCAGAGCCCTCGGTGAACGGGACGTTTTGTTCTTCTGGCCCAGATCCAAGGAGTCCCCAGGGACACACTCTGGTTTGCCTTTGCCAAAGGCCTCGCCAGCTAAGGGTCCCTTCTAGGCTGTGGGGCTGCAGCCATGTCTGGCAGAAGCTGCGCCCTCCTGGGGCCGGCCTCCCGCCTGCACCGGCATTGAGGAGTCCGCGTGCATGTGAGGATGGGCACCCTGTGCAGCTCCTCATCCCAGGCACCCTGCTCCCAGGGCTTCCATTCCAAGCACAGACATCGAAACACAATAAGCAGCCGCTCACTGCCCACTTCCGGGGTCACCCTGTTGGAGCAAGAAGCTCCTGACCTCTCTCCCCACCCCGTGGATGTTCATGGTGGTTCTGTAGCTGCCACTACCGGCTCCTCAGCTGCAGTTCAAGGGGAGGGAACACCAGCCATTCATACTCTCTGATCTTGCATTCATTCATCTCTCTATCTTCTTGCCCATTGGTCCATGCATTCATCCATACACCCACCTGCCCAATTGCCCCACCCACATATCTAGCCTTCCATCCATCCATCCATCCATCCATCCATCCATCTATCCATCCACTGATCTGAACAGCCACCAGTCTGTCTGATTGTTACTGGTCCATCGTCTCATCCATCCAACCCGTCCATCCAGCCATCCATCAATCCATCCATTCATCCATCCTATGCTCTCTCTCTTACACCTACTGTTTGCCCAAAAACCTCTCTCTCTGCCTGTGCGTTGGTCTACATATCCATCATCCACCTATCCCCTTACCAACTTCCCTGCCCGTCCGTCCATTCCCTCACCTTCCTCCCATCCATCCATCTCCCCACTCCACTCCCACTGCTCTGCCAACCAACCTGTCAGCCTGTCTCTTGGTCCATCTACCCCTTCATGCAACGTTCACGGAGGCATATCCTGTGGGACTCAGCGTTGTAACTATAGCACCTACAGTAATAGCTGCCACTTACTGGACACTTGTTTTATGCCAGACACTCTACCTACGTTCTCACTTAATCCTCACAACAACCTGTCGTCGTTTGACAGATGAGGGAACATGCTGGATGGCCTCAATTAGACAACTGTCAAATTGCTTCATTCCAAGAGCAGCTTTACAAGATAGATGCTGTCATCATTTTGCAGATGTGGAAACTGGCCATGCAATTTGCCTGAAGTCACAGCAGTAATGAAGGACAGGATTTGGACGCAAGTGTTCTGACTCCGAGTTCCATCCTCCTTCCTTCTGACCACCGCCTCCTGAGACCCGATGGCCAGACCTGGCTGCCCCGGTGTGTGACTGTGTGTGTCATTCAGCCTCGGGCCTCAGTTTCCTTGCCTGTACAAGAGGGGGCTGTGGGAGTGGCTGCTGACTTCCTTCCTTTCTTCCTCTGTCTCCTTCTCATGAAGAGCCAGGCAGGACCGGGAGATGAGCTGGGCCAGGGGAACCTCTGAGATCCGGCCTTGGACATGGCTTGGCCCAGTGTGAACCCACGGATGACCCCATTTCACTGGCTCGCTCCACAAATATCCTTCACTGAGTGTGTACCGCCTCAGGGCACAGCCCCGGGGACTCCGTTCCTCACCTCCGCTTCAGGGCAGGCGACCCAGCCAGGGGGAAGGGTGCAGCCCCGCAAGAAGAGGAGAGTGACGTCTGCTGCCAGCTTGCTATGAGAGCACGACGTTTCCCTCGGTTTTCTCATCTGCCCAACGGGCTAGCAGCACTCGCCTCGGAGGAGTAAGTGAAATGATGTGATGTGAACACGCTCCCCACGCCCTCTCCTCTCCCTTGCTTCTGTGCAATAACAGGGCTGGGCTCGAGCGGACGTCCCAAGGCGGGCTCGTGGTTGGACTTCAGGAGCAGGAGCCCCTGAAACCATAGGCCGTGTTTGTGTGTGCACGTGCAGTCTTCACCAAGAAGGCCTGTGTCTTTCATCAGATTCTCAAAAGGCTCGTGACTTAGTTGCTAATGATTATAATCACTAATTGAGTGCTGACTTAGAGCCAGCACCTGTAAGTGCTCGGTGCTTAGTACACCTTACTTCATTTAATTCTTAGTAGACAGTAGATGGAATAGTGATTGAGCTCAGGAACTCTAGAGCCTCATTGTCTGGGATCAAATCCTGGCTCCGTTGCTTCCCAGCTGTGTGACCTTGGACAATGACCTAACCACTCGGTGCCTCAGTTTCCTCAGATCTAAATTAGATGACAAAGCTATTTGCTTCATAGGGTTGTTTTGAGGAGTAAATACAGGAACAGAGCTTAGAACCATGCCTGCCCCTAAGCAAGAGCTCAGTAAATACTGTCTTAAAGTAGATGAGGAAATGGAGGCTCAGAGAGGTCAAGGAACTTGTCTATAGTCAACCAGCTGGGAAAGAGCCCAGATTCTAAGCCTGGTGGTCTGAGACTGGAGCCCTTGCATTTAATGGATATGCTCACTGTGTGTTCTTGAAAAGACCCTGACTTCATCCCACATGCACCCTAATTCTTACATTCAAGGCTCTAGATTTTACTGACAAGGGAGAGGTTCTGGCCACACTGGTCTCCAAGGTTCCCTGACATTCTGACACTTGAGACTTCCACTGTGCGAGTCCCCCCATCTGGGGACCGTTGACCCAGCAGGCTGACAGGCCTCCAGAGGAGCAGCAGAGAAAGAGCGAGAGAGCACGTGTGGGCACCTGAATGTGTGCACATCCCCTTCCCGTGCCGCCCCCCTCGAGCCTCCACAGGGTGCAGCTCCCAGGCCTCCCTGCACAGCCTCCCAGGAGAGGCGCCCCCGCAGACTCCGCTCCCTCCCGGCGCCATGTGACACTGGCGGGTGGTGTGGGAGGGAGGAGGAGATGAGCTCGTCACTGGCTGACAGCTCTCCCTCTGGGGCAGGGAGCTCCCTGGCTGCAACCCTACCCCAGATGGCTTTTAACAGAAGAGGAAACAGAGAAGTGCTTTGCTGGGCCACTTCCTGGCTTAGCAGGACCTGGGCAAGCATCACTTCTCAGGGCCTCGTTCTGCTCATTCATAAAATAAGGACAATTGCTCCTATGCCACTGGGCTGTGGCGGACACGACAGGAGAAAAGGCATGTGTGTAAAATACCCAGCCCCACAGACTCCACACTCTCAGGTCCTCTCCATCCTGTTCCTCTCTGGAGGAAGAAGGGGACTCCTGGTCTGAGACCAGAAGTGGCATCCTTTAGCATCTTGTCTCAGGGACGGGAGTTCAGCTGAGGCAATGGCTGGAGACCTGGTGTGGGCTGGGGTGGCCTGTGCAGGTGACGAAGCCACAGGTACTTGATATCAGCAAAATGGCCCAGCACAACTCCATCTGTGGCCTCCTGGAGCTGAGCGAATGAGCTCCCTTCTCCAACAGACCTCAGGCTCCACTTTGTTCAACTGAGTCTCCAAGAACTCCACCAGCCGTACCATCCTGTGGGCTGGGTGGCTATCTCAAAGCGCACACGGCCAGAGGGTGGCAGTGGGGGAGCCTTCTCCCTACTCTGCATATTTGCTTTCCAACAAATACCTTTTAGAGCACCGACTACATGCTAGGTGCCAGGTTCTAGGTGCTGGGGGTACGGCAATGAACACGAGACTGTAGGAAGCTGATATTCCGGCGCGGACAGTCAGACTGCACTCGGCAGGTAGTGAGGAGTTTGTGCTTAGTGCCGTTGAGTCGATTCCGACTCCTAGCGACCCCGTGTAGAGCACAGCAGAGCAGACGCCTGCCCATCTTTTTGCGCCATCCTCTCATCCTCTGGCGCTGTTTCAGATGGTGCTCTGCTGCTATTCACAGCGTTATCATGGCCAATTTTTTCAGAAGTGGGTGGCTGGGTCCTTCTTCCCAGTCTGTCTCAGCCTGGAAGCTCCGCCGAAACCTGTCCATCACGGGTGACCCTGCTGGTATCTGAAATACCAGTGACATAGCTTTCAGCATCACAGCAACATGCAGCTGCCACAGTATGACACCCAACAGGCGGGTGATGTGGTTCCCTGACCAGGAAACGAACCCGGGCCCCGGCAGTGAGAGCACTGGCTCTTAACCACTAGACACCAGGGCTGGCTAGTGATAAGCACTGTGAAGGACCACAAAGCAGACGGAGGAGACGTGGAGGGACCGGGTGCTCATTAGGCCGAGGGTCAGAGAAGGCCTCCTCCATGGGAGACATCTGAGCAGGACCAGAGGAGCCAGGTGGGGGCCACGTGAGGATCTGGGGCAAGAGCATTCTGGGCAGAGGTCAACTGCAAGGCGCTGAGTCTCCAACTGCCTGTCAGGATTGAGAATCGTCAAGAAGTCCCCGGGGCTGTGCGCAGTGAGCCGGGCGGTGGGGGGACGCGCATGGGGGGAGAGTGGAAAAGGTGGGGGCAGGGGAGGTGATAAGGAATTTGGCTTGGGGTCCTGAGCTTGAAGGGCTGGTGAGGAGTCTGCAGGCCCAGCCTTGCCTGCCCAGGCTGGGGAGAGGGGACACATTTTGTGGGGTCAGTCCTCTGAGACCCCAGATCCCCACAGTAAGCCACTTGGACCTAGCGCCTGCACAAGAACACGCTCTTGAAATTCTGGGTTCAGCCTAAGAGCCTTAAAGCACCAGCGGCTCATCTGGGCCAGCCCCCTTTGCTCACATAAGCCCACATGGCGGATAAAGAAATTGAGGCTCAGAGGGGAGAAATGACCTCCCCGGGGACACCCAGCCCCCGAGTGCGTCTGCATCCTGAGATGCGCTCTTCCCACTTTGGCATACTGCAGCCCTCTTTCAAAATGATGTTTGTGAACATTAGTCTCAGTAAAGACAGCTAAAAAGCATGGGTTGGAGATGTTTTTAGCTGCCTGTAAGCCAGATAAAAGGTTCTGTTGTTGCAAAAATGCTCTTCTTGTGTATGCTATAAGCATCCATCAATTTCCGAAATTATCCAGCCTCCCTAACGAGAAATGACGGGCGCTTTCTGAATTTGAGATGAAGAGGGCTTTTTTTGGTTGTTGGTGGTGGTTTACTCATATCAGACTCTTTTCCTGCCCTGAGTGTAATATCCTAAGTTTCAGGGAGGCAGAGGCTGTTTTTTTTTCATCTCTGCAGCCCTGGCAGAGGAGGCTTCTCCTGAGTGGCCGCTCGGACACCTACAGTTGTGTGACGCTCTATATTCACACGCAGGTAGATCAGCATATAGTATGGTTATTGAACGAATGAACGACTGAATGAGTTGGGCTCAAAAAAGGCACGTCTTCAGGTTCTACGTAGCCAGGGATCACCAGCCTGAGACCTCTGCCTTAGGGTAAAGAGGAGAAGTCATATTTTTAGGGGAGGATGATAAGCCAGGAATCAGTCAAAAAGCTGACAAAAGAAATTCCAAATTTGGGTCCCCTGTCCAGAGCGAAGATGCAGGCACATCAATGCTAGAAGGGACCAGCATGAGTCAGTTGTCACCAGGTTATGCTGCATAACAAGCAAACCCAAATCTCAGGTTCTTACAACAACTATTTATCTCTCGCCCCTGTTGCATGTCAGTGGCGGGGGGCCCAGCTGCAGCAGCTGTGTGGTCCAGGCTGTGGTCAGGGTCACCTCGGCTCCACAGGCCTCTAGTCCCAGGACGCAGGCTGAAGAAGCAGCTCCTGTCTGGGATGTTACGTCTCAAGGCAGAGGGCAGGAGCTCGACAGGGATGGGACAGCTCCCAATGGCTCTTGAAGCCTCCACCACAAACCATCACACCGTCACTTAGGCCCACATTTTGGGGTTCAATCCAGTCACATGGCCAAGACCAACATCAATGAGCAGGACTGATGATGAATATTTGCTAACAATGGTATAATCCTTACTAGGATTTAGGGACCCCTGAGTCCAGCAGATTCGAAACTGTTCTCAGAAGCATTCTCCAACCCTCTCGGGCCACAGAGAATGAAGGAAGAGAGGGGTACCAGTGGACAGGGCTCGGGGACCGCCACCTCCAGCAACAACACCTCACTGTGAGGTGGCCACGTACATTTTCATTTGAAAGCTGCTTTAAAAAAAAAAGATTTTAAAAAATCATTGGTCTAACACAAGTCCTCCGTATTACAGACAGGGAGACAGAGACTTCACAAGGAGACACACGTGAAGCTGATCAGTGGCAGAGCTGGGACGCACGCCCAGCAAGAGACCTCTTCAGACAGCACCCAGGTCAACATGTATTCATATATTCATTCAACAAATATTTACTGCCCAATAACTCTGGGCGAAATTTTGGCAATCATAGCATTCTCCTTCATTCAGTCTATATTTTGACAACTTACTTGGTGCCTCATTCATTCATTCATTCAAAAACTATTTTCTGAGGGCCTACTATAGGCCAGGCCAGGCTACAGGCACTGGGCATACAGCGGTGAATAAAACCAATTTTCTGACCGTGGAATTTGCATTCTAGGGCAGACACAGATAATAAATGAAATAAACTATATATGTACAAAGTGTGATAAGCACTATGAAGAAGAAAAAAAAAAAAAGCAGAGAGAGGGGCTGGCCCGGTGGCACAGCGGTTAAGTTCTCACGTTCTGCTTTGCCGGCCCGGGGTTCGCCTGGTTCAGATCCCGGGTGCAGACATGGCACTGCTTGGTACGCCATGCTGTGGTAGGCGTCCCACATATAAAGTAGAGGAAGTTGAGCATGGATGTTAGCTCAGGTCCAGCCTTCCTCAGCAAAAAGAGGAGGATTGGCAGCAGATGTTAGCTCAGGGCTAATCTTCCTCAAAAAAAAAAAAAAAAAAAAGCTGAGGGAGGGAGTAAAGAGTGCCAGAGGGGTCATTTTGGACAGAGTGGCCAGGGAAGGTGTCTTTCCATAGGTGAAATCTAAGCAGAGATGTGGGTGAAGTGAGAGATGAAGCCACATGTGTCTGGAAAGAGAGGTGGTGGATAGAGCAAGTGCAAAGGCCCTGAGGTGGGTGCGTACCTAGGGGCTTGGAGGCACAGCGGAAGGCCTAAGTGAGGTCAGAGGGCATGAGGTCAGAGATGTGGCCCGAACCTCAGCGGTCCCAGGAAGGAGGCTGGGTTTTGCTGATGTGGTGAGGACCCCCGGGACGGTTTGCATCAGGGGAGAGGTCTGATCTGTGTCGTCCACGCGCACAGCTTGGGTGAAGAACCCAGGGCAGGGAGCCCTATGAAGGGGGCTCTTGCCACTGTCTGCTGGCGGCTCAGAGGGCTGGGGGTGGTTTCAGCGTGTGGTCAAGACCGTCCCACTCCCAACCCCACTTCACAGGGAGCAGAGCCCGGGGAGATGGCCAAGACAGCGGACGCCCACCCCGGGGGCAGCAGGCTAGCGGATGGAACCGTGAGAGGGGCGGGGCCTGCCTCCGGGAGTGATGGACAGAGGAACAGCGCCTCTCCTCCAGTGGTGCCCAGGCTCTGCGAGCTCCCATTGGCTGGAATTCTGCCCCGGCGGCTGGCTGGGCGGGAAACGCCTCCCAGGTGCCCGCCTCGCAGGAAAACCGCCCAGATGACGGGCCACTGATCTGTGATTCCAGCCACGCTCAGGACGCAGCTGCCACTTGATTCGTCCAGATCTTTCCCTTTCCATCAACCTCCCGACCCCCTTCCTCCCATGAAAAAGTAAATGAGGTCCTTGGAGGGGTGGGTATTCTCTTCCTCATTTTCTTTTCACCTGGTATCTCCTTCTAACATCGGGGAAGCCGTCCCCTGCCCGGGAAGTCTTCCCAAGCGTCCGCCACTTCTCGCTCTTTCCGTTATGTCCTCCCATAGCTCTTCCGAGGGTTGCTAGTTTCCCTTTTGGTCTGTGATTATTTGATTGATGTCCATCTGTCCCACTCAGTTATGAACTCTGCGGGGCCTCTTTCATTTTGGGGGTGAGCTTGGGTGGGGGTGGGGTCACCGTTGTCTTCCCTACTCCAGCCAAGTCCCGGATGCATAACTCAGTAAACGTGAGTTTCCTGCTTCTGGGGTGTTTTCAAGTCCTGTCTCCTCCAAGGATCAGGACCTGATGGCCAGGAGCTGTCTTAGGATTGGGGTCCTGGGGAGATGTTTTCCTCCAATTTTTTTTGCAGAAAAATACACATAAAATTGTGTGGAAGTCAATCTTCCAGCCCCACTCTAGCCTTCAGATGACTGCAGCCCTGGCCGACATCTTGACTGCAACCTCATCAGAGACCCTGAGCCAGAACCACCCAGCTAAGCTGCTCCTGGATTCCTGACCCTCAGACGCTGGGTGAGATAATAAATGTTTATTGTTGTTTGAAGCTACTAAGTTTTGGGGTACTTTGTTACACAGCAATCGATGACTGATATAGTCACCCACTCTATCCTGGCAAGTTTGGCTGGCGCTGGCCTTTGCTTGCTTCTCAGAATCAGATCCATCCCCAAAGAATGAAGATGCGCCCTCACGGTGGCTTTGGGAAAGAACGTCATCCAATGTGGATTAACTGGCTAGTCTCCTGGGGAGTTTGGAGTTTCCAGTGACTTAGTGAAGACAAAAGGGCTGTGTAGGATGGAAGGGGGAGCAGTGGGGGAAGGGGGAGCAGAAAGAACCCAGATTTGGGCGTGAAGACCTGGGCTGGAGCCCAGCCTCTGTTGCTTGCCAGTCGAGTGACCCTGACAGGTGACTCAGCCTTCCAGGCCGCAGGCTCATTATTCGTCTAATAGACTTAGCTGACAGCACTGCTGTGAGCTTGACAGTCTGTTCCCCCGACTGGGTCTTTTTAAATTGCAAATCCGATCATGTCATTCTTTGCTTAGAACCTATTAGTGGCCTCACATTGCCTGGATAAAGGCGAACAGCCCCGGCTGGCCTGCACCGCCCGCCGCTGTGGGGCCTGCCTCTGCCCAGCTGGCAGGGTCTCCCTCATCCTTGCTCACTATGGCTCTCCCAGCTTTAACCACACCGCCCGTCCACTGGTTTCCTGAAGGTGCCACGTTCGATCCACCCACGGGGCCTGCGGCATGTGTGGGATTTTTCCACCTGGAATATGCCCCCCCTTTGACTTGCTAACTTCTCTGTTACCCTTCAGATCTCAACTTGAATGGGAAGCCTTTGCTGATAACTTAGGCCCCACCTCATGGCCCTCACCGTCATCTGCAATTACAGGGGTATTTGTGTGATAAATAGACAGGCCTGCCTCCCCCCCCCCCCCATGTCAGTGAGCACCACAAGGGCGGGGCCCGGCTGCAGGCCCGCACGGGCACACCGTAGGAGCGTAAGTGCTTGTGCTTGTGTGAAATGAATGAGTGAGCACAGGGTGCCCGTTACTGTGCACATGTTAGCTTCCATCCCCTCCCCCATCCCCGGATTCCACTCTGACTTCAGGAGCTCCCCGGGGACCCAGAATTCAGGCCAAGTAAACTTACAGGGCAGATGCTTCCAGATTTCTGTTGGTTCTGAACTTTGGCTGAGCCTTGGCACTATCTGTAGTGTTTTCCAAAAAGCCGATGCCCGGGTCCCACTCTCAGAGGTTCTGGTGTAGAGCTGGAGTGCACTGGACGGCAAGATAATTAAAAGTACCCCCGGCCAAGCCTCAGAACCACTGCCCTGGCCGGAGGGGAGACGAGGGCTCTGGCAGAGACTGGCCAACCTGGAGACTGGAGACTGTCTCACCGTCTAGGATGGTGGGGCTAAAAATAGTGGGAGAAAACCCAGAGGCTGCGATGTGCCAGACACTGTTACAAGGATTTCCTTTAATTAACTCACATAATCCTCAGAAGAGTCCCATGAAGAGGGTGGTGTTATTACCCCCTTTCACAGGTGGGGAGACTGAGGCATGGAGCTATCAAGTAACTTGCACAATTATCCAGTCTCTTGGTGGCAGAGCCAAGATTTGAACCCCAGGGACTCTGGCTCCAGCATCCAGTGCTGGACCGCCAGCCTATACTGCCAGTGACCCTGGAGAGGTACCCACTGACTGTCCTCACCCTAATGATTGCTTTTGCATCTTCTGGGGGCTAGGGGGGTGGGGCAGCTGCCCATCTGGCGTCTCCATCTTTTGCCGAAAGGATGTGCCCCGAGCCAGCAGCAGGCATCACGGAGACGAGGTCAGACGGGCCCAGCTGACCAATTCCAGCTGGGCTTCTCCGACCCCAAAAGCATCCGCCTGATGGTGGAGCCCATCATCGGCCTCAGGAAGAGACAGGTCGCTATGGAAACCACAGGACTCCACAGCCATACCACCGGCTGGCTTCAAGGAAATATTTTCACGGCTCTTTTGGGGCTCTGCTGTGAGGCGGCCAAGGGGGTTCTAGCTAATTGGGCCCTCCGTTTGGCCAGGACATCAGGTTAAGTCCCGGCATGCAGCAGCAGCCCTGGACCAGCCCTTCTCCTCACCTTGCACCCCGAGAGGTGCTGTTTCCAGCCCTCCCGTGGGAAGGCGCGTTGGTGGGGAGGTCTGTGGGTGATTGACATGTGGGGTTGAGTCTTTAATTAAACCGTGCATCATGTGCCAGTCAGAAGAAAAGAAAGTTCAACTCAAAGCCAGGGTCGTTATCCCGAGCATCATTTCAGGAGCTCTTTCCCATGGCGGAGAGCGTGACCTTGTCTAACAGTTGGGCTGAAATCCTTCCGAGGCCTCTCCGATCTGTTCCCGAGCCCTGCATGTGACTGTGTGGGGTCCGTCAGCATTCAGCCCCTGCCATCGGACTGGGTGACTGGCGCTGGGCTCAGCTTTGACGAGCACCAGACCTGTGGTTCTCAACCCTGGCGCCCGTTCGCATCCCCGGGCAGCTTTCAAAAAACACCCACATCCGGGCCTCACCCCCGGCCAATTAGACACCATCTTTGAGAGTGGCCGGGGCTGAGAACAAGTCCACCTCTGCTCCACACAAACGGGGAAACTGAGGCTCTGAGAGGAGAAGAGACTTGCCCTGGGCCGCCAGGTGGCAAGGAGCGCTGAGGCCAGCCGGTCGCAGACCCTCTCCGTCCGTCTGACACCCCACAGCTCCAAAGGTGGGGGCGGCAGCGGGACCTGGCTGGGAAAGGCGGGGGCACCTGGGGGGATCCCTACCTTTTGAAAAAGTGTGGAACAGTGTAAGGCCTTTCTAGTAAAGACGTCCTCATGGGCCAGCAGCCTCGGCATCACCTGGGAGCTTGCTAGAAAGAATCTCAGGGCCACCCCATACCTACCGACTCAGAATCTGCATTTTAACAGGACCCCCAGGCGCATGGACTTTCAAATTTGAGAAGCCCTGTGGTAATGACACTGGGATAGAAGCTACAACACTTGAGTTCTAGTTATGTGACCCTAGGAAAGTTCTCTTAATTTCTCTCAGTTACACTTTCTCCATCTGTTTTATGGGGATACCCGAACCTTTAATGTCAAAGCTGGAAGGACCAGAGACGGGAAGCAAATTGACCAAGTGACACAGCAAAAGTGCGGCAGAGCTTCTAGAAGCAAGAGCAAGGCTCCTAGACCCGTGCAGCTCCCTCCGCTGTGTTGCCCCCCAGCAGGGCGGTGGGGGCCAGGGTGCTGCAGATACAGCAAACGCTCCAAGAGGCCTCCAGCTCTTCTTTGATAT